CAAATAAGCAATCCTTGTTACCGATAAAAAGAAATATATGTTGTTAGATCTTATTGAATTTTCTTCCCCCTGTGACCTTTTCATTTTTGCTGTTTCTGGAAAGACATTCTTTCTAGAATTTTGAATAGGGTGTCTTTTCTGTTACCCCAACAAGCCTATTCATCTTTTAGAAAATGACCATTCCTCTTGTCCAGAGGTTAGTTTTACTCCCATGCTGTAGTAGTGATCGAACAGTGACAGTAGTAATCGAACAATTTATTGTGCAGCATATTATGACGTCAAGTACTTTTCTTAGAAATTTATCATGTGATGTTTCACCCCCTCCCATAATACTCCAATTTTTTGTGAAGAACTGTTCATTTATATCTAACTAAAACTTGTGGACGATGAGAACGTAGAGGATGATAAAGCTCCTCCAAATCACACAGCAGTATTAGAAGCTTTAGACACTATTTTTGACTATTTGCTATTTAATTTTGCTGCTGAAGCTCCCCTTATCCCATTTATATGAACTGGAAAAAACTGTTTTTTAAAATACGTCGGCAAAAACAAATACAAACATGCATTAAGATTATTTTGTAAGAAAATAAATTCTCTTAAGGTACGTTACATTTTTCTTTGTATAATTATAGTAAATACCAAAACAGTATAAATATTAACATTTTATCTTTAGAAACAAATTTATGCATATTGTCACTGCAATTTACATTGCGTTTAAGAATTTTGAAGTTTTTCACTTATGCGCTTTTCACTCTTGGCCCCTTACACCGGTGCATAAGTGAGAGTTCACTGTAATATTATAGTGTTAAAGACTTCACCTAAATTTATTAATCTTCGCCAATATGTAAACATCTTTCTAATATTAACCCTTTAAAGTCTCGGACTTATAGCAGTTTCTATTAAGGTTTATTTCAATTTCAAAAATAAACTCCCACATGTTATTCGTAGAAGAAAGTTTAGAAATACAATCTTGTAAAATTTTACCCATTCTGCAACTTTCCATTATATAGATCATCACTTTTAAATTCTTACGAGTGTTTTTTAAGTTTAGGTTTTTCAGTTAGTACGTGACAATCTTGGATTAAATTTTTATGAGCTGTTATTCAAACACTTTAAACAATTCACACAAATCCGTTAATGCAGTATTTTATCATATTAACAAAATATTTACATTATTTGTTGTCTGAATGAATAAGAAATACACGTAGTTTAATAATAGAGTATTGAAATAATTTGTCTTATACGAAAAAATATATAATATTTACATTATTTGTTATCTGAATGAATAATAAATGTACGTAGGTTAATAATAGCGGATTGGAATAATTTATCTTATACGAAAAAGATGTTTTCTTAAATATATTTATGTCTACATATATTGATTTGTCGCTTTTATTGGGTTTACAGACGCATTGTTTAAAAGTTAACAGAAAAAAAAAACTTTTGCCGCATTCAGTTGTAAAAAATTCAAAATTTTCCTTTTTAAATTTTTTTTGAAATGCAATATTTTCAATATTTTAGTTTTCAATATTTTAGTTTTTCAATATTTTAGCTGAAAGTAATACTTTCAACAGTTATAACACGTCAAATAGTTATACGAAGAAAATAAAAAAGCTCTACTGATGCTCATTAAATTTTTTAATGTTGCCACTCTTATTTACCGAGTACCCCGAAAACTAACGGTTGATTTAAAAAATACTTTTAAAAACTGATGGATATAGAAGTGTGTGATATGCTTCGTTCGATTCAGAAAATCAGAAGATTTTCCTCAATGAATTTTAAAATTAGTTGCAATATCCGCCAACAGCTGGCGTTGCTGACTGTGAAAAAACCTATAAGGATTAACTAAACAGACACCGTTTCAGTTACAGTGATCTGACATACGAGGGTTGCTATTTATATTTCTGGCCTTGGCAACAGTAAGTGTTGCTAGNGAAATACAATCTTGTAAAATTTTACATATTCTGCAACTTTCCATTATATAGATCATCACTTTTAAATTCTTACGAGTGTTTTTTAAGTTTAGGTTTTTCAGTTAGTACGTGACAATCGTGGATTAAATTTTTATGAGCTGTTATTCAAACATATCCGTTAATACAGTATTTTATCATACTAACAAAATATTTACATTATTTGTTATCTGAATGAATAAGGAATACACGGAGTTTAATAATAGTGTATTGAAATATTTTGTCTTATACTAAAAATATATTTTCTCAAATATGTTTATACCTATATATATTGATTTGTCGCTTTTATTGGGTTTACAGACGCATTGTGTTTAAAAGATAACAGGAAAAAAAAACTTTTGCCGCATTTAGATAAAAAAAAAAATTCAAACTTTTCCTTTTTAAATTCTTTTCGAAATGTAATATTTTCAATATTTTAGTTTTCAATATTTTAGTTTTTAATATTTTAGTTTTCAATATTTTAGTTTTCAATATTTTAATTTTCAATATTTTAGTTTTTCAATATTTTAGTTTTTCAATATTTTAGTTTTTCAATATTTTAGTTTTCAATATTTTAGTTTTTCAATATTTTAGCTGTAAGTAATACTTTCAACAGTTATAACACGTCAAGTAGTTATACGAAGAAAATAAAAAAGCCCTACTGATGCTCATTAAATTTTTTAATGTTGCTACTCTTATTTACCGAGTACCCCGAAAACTAACGGATGATTTAAAAAATACTTTTAAAAACTGATGGATATAGAAGTGTGTGATATGCTTCGTTCGATTCAGAAAATCAGAAGATTTTCTTCACTGAATTTTAAAATTAGTTGCAATATCCGCCAACAGCTGGCGCTGCTGACTGTGAAAAAACCTATAAGGATTAACCAAACAGACACCGTTTCAGTTACAGTGATTTGACATACAAGAGAATACATTGTTTAATATTTTGATAGAAAAAAATCATTTATGCCATAAAATATTTTATCAGATCATAATAATTATCAGAAGAGTATCCTCTCTGAATTTTAAACTTATTTGCAATATCCGTCAACAGCTGGCGCTGCTGACTGTGAAAAAAAACTTAGAAAGACAAACTAAATAGACACAGTTTCAGTTACAATGATTTTACTTACAAGAGGAAACATTTAATAATTTTTTTCCACTTAAAAGGGCAATCTGTTGAGGGAAATTGTAAGTAATGTTTAAGATTTGGGTGCAAAATAACTGGTTAAGCAAAACTGAAAACTCAAATTTATACTTTCTGTAAATTTTTATTTTTCAAATAGTCATTTATTTTTGTGACATTCGGTACATTTATCATATTTCTCCCTGTTTTCGGATGTCTAATTCATATCTCAGTATTTATTTTAATTGAAAACCTAACAGACCTAAATATTAAACTTCTTCTTAAAAGACTAAGAAATATGTAGATTAGAAAATAAAATCATTAACGCCATAAAATATTTTATATGCATAGTTTTTTTAATCATGTTAGATAAAAAAAACACAAATTCTTCATTTTTAGCTATTTTTTGCATAGAAAATATTTTATAGTGTAACATTTAGCTGCAAGACAAAACATTTAGTTAACATTTTAATTATAAAACAAATTTAACTTGTCTCAACCAATAAGATGCCATCAAACAACCCGAAAAAATGCTTTCATCGAATATCTTATCTTGCTTATAATTTTTCATTGCGATTAAAATCTCCGAGCAATGAAGGTAAATTAAATTATATTTATACAAAGGCATTCGCTTTGTAAAGTTATTAAAACAGAAAAAAATCAAAAATTTAATTTTTACTACCAGGTTAGGATAGTCTGGTTGGTAGGGCGTGGAACTTTCAGTTCGCAATTTATTAATTAGTATTTCATAATAATTAACTAGCTCGAATTAAGTTAAAACATATATAATTCGCATTTCCTCCTAATTTTAGTGCAAATATAATAAATCATTTAATGTAGAATATAATTATTTTAGAAGTTTTGGTTTGGAGTCAAATACCTTAATAAATCCCTAATTGAAATTTAATAATAAGAAACAAGTATACTTTATAATTCGAATCCAGTCGGCCGAAGAATCCCATTGTTGTAAATGGTGACTGGTGCAAGCTAATTATGTCGGGTCATAAAGTCCTCCATGTTCCCATAACAAATTATACTTCTGGGGGATTGGAGATTGATCGTTCTCTAGTTCAGGTCAAAATTGCGATCTGTGGATGAATAAATGGATGTATGAATGGATGTATGAATGGGTCCGTCTTATAAACGGGTGTGACGCATAGGTGGGACAGAAGTCGAATACCTGGCCAGAAAGAGTGCCACTGGAAAACAAGAACAATCGCATCCCCAATGGTCTACGTCAGTGTTTCTCAAACTTATGACTTTTGTGTACCCTTTCTAAATTTTTCGTAAAGCTGTGCACCACTAATAAAAAAAATGAATGCATTTTTTACTATAAAAAATGCACAAAATTTAAAAATCACAACTGGCTGTTGACACCACTAATTATTAACTGTTAACCGCAAAAAATAGCCACTAGAAAAATACGTAATCGTAAATTTTCATGGCTTGCTTTGTTTTTAAATAAAAACGTTTCAAATTTTCGTTTGTTGCAAGATATTTCGCATAAGAACGCGTACCCCGGCTAAACTGTCCCCGTACCCCTGGGGGTACGCGTATCACACTTTGGGAAACACTGGCTTACGCCAACAACAACAATAATTCTTACAACCAGTAACCTCATGAATATAACCTATTTTTCTCAACCCACTTCGAATATTTAAGAGTAGATTTTTAAATCATATTCATTGTTCAGTAACATGGGAAAAAAAACTTAAAATTTAATCATAAAGAAAGCAACTATAAGATCTTCTTTCGAGAAATAAAACAAGGAATTCGTTTCGCAGATAAAATTAAGTAACTTCCCTTTAAATAAAAAGTAACACCTCCTCTAACTTCATATATTTCTGAAGTCATGGCTAGTATTAAAGTGATCCCACCTTTCCGTCCGTAACCTCATGAATATAACCCATTTATCACAGCCCACTTCGCTTAGAAAATCACCGACCGACCCCCTCCAACCAGTTGCTCCATGATCGTTTGCCACCCTTCCATCGCCCGCGCCTGCTCCCTACAATGTCACGTGAAAAGCCGGAGATTCCAGACACCCGCTGCTTCTTCAGTGTTGCTTTTGAGTTCTAGTGGAGAGGCGGTCTTTCTACTTTTTCTTGTCTTTCTTTAATAATGAAAAAAGAGATAAATTAATTGCCGTTCATAAAGTGTGAGAAAGAGATGTTATAGAAATTTGGAAGAGGAGTTGAAAAAATTGTTTTGATTTTTTTTTGTTCTTTTTTTTTCGTTTTAGTTGTGTTGTGAAAAGATTGTTTTATTTTGTTGCCTTTTGATTGGCTTTGGGATTAAAAAAAACTTTTTTTGTTTGTTTTTTTGGTGATTTTTGAATTTGTAATTCGACAAGTGCTGAGATCTGTATAGGAATTGAAAGTGAGTAGTTTTCTTGTTTTGATTAGAAATGCTTTTTTTTAAAATTTCTTTCATGGTAGTGTTATAATTTTTGTGATAATGCCTCAAATATTTTATCTTATTCGTAATGACATGATAATTATTTGTTTTTGTAGCTATTAATATTTTTTTTCAAATTTTCAATTAAGAAAATAGTTTAAACGGAAATGCTATAAAGCAGATGATTTTAAAATAGTAAAGGGGAAATGTGGTTGTAAGTTTGCTTCGTAGAATAATTTATGTTAAAATAAATAAATTCTCTTTAATAAGTGTGTTTTCTAACCAAATGCTATTGTTTAGCAAAATAATTTACGAAAATCTGAGATCAAAATTAAGTAAATGGAACAATTTAGAACTTTAACTTTGAATAAGCTGCTCATTTTCTTCAAAAGATCACAAAATATTTGGAATACCTCTTCTAAAATAATTTATCTTCCGTAATTTAACTTTGTGCATTTATTTTATAAAATGTTTTAATCTGTTAAAAACAATCTAAACTCCTTAGACAGTTTTCCAAAACCATGGTTCTTTCAAAATAGATTTATTTGATTTTATTAAAGGATTTAAAAAATGCAAAGAACTAAACAAGCATTGCTTTAAAGCTCGAATTAAATTAAACATATATAGTTTGCATTTCCCCCTAATTTTATTGCAAGTTTAACAAATTATTTAATTCCGAATATAATTATTTTAAGATTCTTGATTTAGAGTCAAATATTTTAATAAATTCCTAATTGAAAATTGACAATAAGAAACAAATATACTCTATGATTTCAATATAATACAATAATTACAAAATATATATTAATCGTTGAATTTTTAGTTTAATAAAAATTAAAAACAAAGATCGCGTAAAATGAATGCTAGTAGAGCTGGCTAGTGATCTATTTTTAGAACTAAGTGAATTAAAGCCTTGGAAATTTTAACATTTTAGACAAACTGAGGTAACGTTGCTTTTTATCGTTATTTTTCGTTACATAAAATTAGCAATCGAATATGTTAATGAGAAATTTCGACAAAATAAGAGTTTGAAATTCAGGTTCATGAAATTGTTTTATCAAATACTTATGACGTATTTTATGCCATAATTTCTTTGATTTATTTGTTATTTATTGACTGCAATGTGTATAGGATTACAGTTCCGAGAAAACGTTTTTCTTATTTATATTTTTGAATTTCTCGGTTTCTTGACTGAATTAAGAATTTAAAAGAGATATACGCAGATTGAATAGTTGAGAGGTTTAACCAATTTTAAGTTTCTAATTTTAAAATTTTAATTTCCTTTTTTGTGTAATATATGATGAATAAAGTGTCTCTGACTTTTTTTAACGTTTTTATTAGGACCGAAAATATTATTCAGAAATTGATAAAAATAAGAGTTATAAAAAATTTTTTTTTAATAAAATGTTTATGAAAAATCTATTTTCCGAGATATATTCTTCACAACACTGTAATTTTTTTTCAATATAATACGTAATGAATTGTATTGTCTAGTAAACAATTTTCTAATTTATTTATTTATTATCATTATTTTTTTTTTGAATTGCACAACTTTTTGATTCAGCTTATTGACGCTTTTGAAAATAAGTTTGTCGTAAATTGAATTTTGAAATGTCGTTAGTCAATTTTTTGATTTTAATGTTAATAAAAAATTTAATAATTTTTCTTTGTAATGTAAAAAAAGTGCTTCGTAATATTAAATTGCTCCCAGATTAAGATAAATAAAACATTTATAGAAGTATATACCAAAGTATATCGCTCATGGGCTGCAATAGCGGCACAACTCAAAAAATCAAGTTTTGAGATAAGTGGGTTTAAAAGTTTCATTGCTAAGCAAAATGCATAAGAAATGCTTTAGTTTGCTCAAACGAAGATTACCTTCAAGTTGAATTATGAGTTGTGCTAGTACTGTTGCTGAAAGAATGTGTATTTTCATATTTACACCTGTTTTGATTCCAAAACGCTTGTTTTTTGAGTTGTGCCAGTATTGCAGCCCATGAGCGATACAGTTATACCACGTTTTACATAATTTATTTTGTCCATAATATTTTATAAAGTCAAAAAAATCTGACATTACTTTTTATTTGTGTATTTCAAGTCTTTAAATATTTGAGGCTTCCAAAAATTATTAAAGGTTCTTATACATATTTTGTATTAAGAAAAGAAATAAAACAATACTCTATTTGAAATTACTGACTCCAACCAATGACTTTAGTTCGAAAACTTTTATCTCTATCGTATAGCAACTAAGCTTGAAATTTTGCTCCAGTAACATCTAATAAGAAAAAAGCACAAAATCCTGCTATTTTAATAATTTACTTAGAAACAATGAATTGATTAAAAAAAAACACCTCAGATATATTAAATGTTCCTTAATAGAATTTAAATTTGAAAACATGACTTTTTCCTATTTCATTTAAGAATTTCTCATTTAACGAATTCTGATTGAGAATTCCATTGATTATAATTTTTTAAAAAAGTAATTTGTTGAAATTTTTTTTTTAAATTCGTGTTGCAATAATTAACAAGTTAGGATTGCTGCATGGGAAAAAAAAAACTCGTGACCAGAAATTAAGCACTACTCATTAAACAGAAAAGACATTTTGTCGTTCACGTCTGCATAATTGTGAGTAGAAAATCACTTTACGAATTGGTAGTTTATGATTTTCGAATAAGTGATGTAAAACTCAATCTCCTAGCAATAGAATCTAATTTGTTACATTGCAATAACAGTTTGAATAATTGCCATAATGACTTGACAGTTGAATATAACTGTTTGAATAGTTGCCATAACAAATTGACAGCTGAATACTAAATAGTTGCTATAAGAAACTGAAAAAAGAATATTAATAGTTAAAATAGTTGCCATGACGGATTGACAGTTGAATATAACAGTTTAAAAGATGCTTGATTTTTCGTCATTTTCTAAAAACAAAATCTTAACTTTTTCAGAGTTTCGGTAAAAATTTATGTCTTTTGTAAGAAAAAAATAAAATGATTTCGAAGTTTGCTGTAAAAGTTGTTTTAATTTTTTTTTCCTTCGTGTACCACCTACATGCCAAAATTATCGGGTACCACTCCTATAAAATCTCTTTCAAGCCTTAATTGAGTTTCCCAAATTTGCAGTTTCATGTAATAACTAACTAAGAAATATTTATAAATATTTATGATACGTTTATCAACAATCTAAATTGTTACGAAAGTCATTTAAACATTTTTTGTCGAACACATAAAACCTCAAATGGGATTCACGTAAGAAATATTCTTCTTAGTTTAACTAAGACTCGCACAAAGCTTCAATTTTCATGTAGTTTTTTGCATTTATATACATTAAAACTGCTAAAAAAATTCAGCTAGTTTAAGCAGCTTACTAGTCATTAAATAAATCGGATATTGAGATTGTGCAGACAATGCTAAATGTTTTTTTCTCAATTCCATTTTCCTCAAATCCTTACTTTTTAAAAGCTGTTTTCAAGAAAGAATCATTCTACATATCAATGGTTAAGTCTTAGACTTGTTTATGCAGTAAAAATCCAAAAGTTTTAATCCGTTAATTTTTAAAAAAATATCGGGTGTTTAGTTTGCGTTTTAAAGGTGATCTTTGAAAAAATCACCAGCGGCGCACATGCTATTTACCTGATTTATGACATTGCTTAACACGTCATTTGATTTTTAACGACAAATTTTAAAGTATATTTAAAAATGAGATGTCGAGAAATTTTTAAAATATATTTAATGAATAATAAAGCATTACCTCACCAGACCAGTGTGGGAGATAAGAATAATAGAGGTTAATGCTCTCCAGTTTCGTGACTAACGGCATTAGTGTGGCAATCTGCTCTAAATAAGTCTAATTAATCTCTGGTCTAAACTATGATCTTTCCTGCCAAGCTAATACCCATCTATATGAAGCTGAGTGAGCTTCAAGCTGCCACTGAGGAGTGAGCATTAGTCCTTTACTGTGTCATATATATTTTTGGATTTCGTAAATTTAGAAAAAATTTATATCTATACTATTTGAAACAAGGTAAAAGTGTATATATATACTGTTTTTAAGTGTTATTTTTACTTATTGTGTTCTATTTTATTTGCTATAAAGTTTGGTTAAAAAAATTTTTTGAGTGCTCCTCACACTATTGTATTAATATATTTTGCTTTGGCTATATTGATACAATATCAGAAAGCACTCTTTTTTGCGGATATAATCGTGTGGGCTGATGAAAAGATTATATCTTTTATTTTCCGG